CACAAAAGAAGCTATTTTGAGAATGTCTGTTTTTTGTTTCTGCTAACCAACATTCTTCAATATATCTTCTTCCACAGAAAAAAGAAAAGTAACAAGTTTGGAATAACGTGTGCCAGGGTAAGTAAATGATGACATGACATTTTTTTATTTAACTATGCCTTCAATTTCTGCATAGCATTGACTAAATAGATCTTAAATTAGGCCTATTTCCACCTCCAAAGCTAAACTCCATGTAAACAGTCTTCCTGGAGTCATGCTAGGAGTCTGAAGGTCAGGCTAAACTCTGTGCAGCACACATGAAGTACATGCTTCCCTATAATGCCATTATAAGCTACTGAGTATATATATATCCATGCATCAACCCCCCATTGCCCCTGAGACTGAAGGCCAGACACAGCTTGACTGGATTATTGGCATTTCTCTTCACGCTGGAGGGGTTGGTTTTCCTCACATAGTGCAGTCAAGCCCACAGGGAATACACTACGACGAATCAAGGCTTCCTGGCGGCATGTAAAGGTTTCTTTTTACGCCCACCATTTGCAGAAAGCTACAAAAAATAAAACCACAATTTCGTATTAAAGGTGTCTGAAGCAACTCAAATGTGTCAATAACATTCTGTGATCCAGCTAAATACATCAATATCAATTTTTATACTCAAACTGAAGATAAATTTGTCTCCGAACTATGAGTAAAATTTGTGTGGCTGGTTACACCACCTCTCTCGATACTACCAAAAGGGGTACCTGAATTATTCACATATGTGAAATTATTCAAACCGTCTCCAATGCAAAGTGAACCACCAGCACAGCATGACAGACCCAGTAACTCTGTGAGTAATAGACTAGATTTGGGTCAGAACTGAGTTAGGTCATACAAACCAAATTTGCTCTCAAACACATACACACAGTAAACATATATTGGACATCTGTGTCGACTATCTGCTAAGTTATTCTTAGGTGTAAGAAGGTTTTATGGGTCACTGCGTTTGTGTTTCTAATTTTTGTTTTAGTAAAACTCACTGGCCAAAACCTTTCTGTACTTCACAGCACAAAAAAACCCACTTAATAATACCTGATTAAAAAAATGCCACTGTGACAAAAATGCCATAGATATTTCAAATGAAAATCAAATTAATTTCAAATAAATCCCCTTTTATGAGTTGATTGAATATTTCATATTACTGTATCCTAGGCTGTTCTAGTAATGGGTTTAGCAGACACATCTGCAGTGACAATTTAGACCGTTTTTTATTATGTTATGCACATTTCTACAGCTACTTTTGTATTTGAACTGAAGTTTGGTTTAATTTCAAAATATAACAGGCATAATCGTTCAGACTTAGAATTTGTGTGCTTTTAAATACACTACTGTTCAAAAGTTGAGTCAGTACGATTTTTTTTTTAAATGTTAAAAAATGAATAATTTTATCCAGCAATGATGCAATGTTAAAAAAAAAACTATTCCAAATAAATGCTGTTCTTTTGAACTTCCTATTCATCAAAGAATCCTGAAAAAAGTATGACTAATACAGCCTCAAATATGGTTCAGGTACACAGCCTCTTAATAAAGAAGTTAATTTGTGAAACTGCCTAGATGCACATGATTTACTGAGCTGACGGTCACAGATATCACAGATGTACAGCATGAGAACATATGTGCTGGGTGGAGTTTTCTTGGCCTGAATGGCTGTCTCTTGGCAGACGCGTATCGTAAATAAAAGCATGACTTTGTGTATAAAGGGTGCTAAAAAGTGATATATTTTCAGTTGTGAAGACTCATATGGGTTTTAATTGGAACATCCAAAAGGTGTAACATTCTCATGATCACGTAGATGGTCTGTTGACACAAAAGACGCCCCTGCTCCCCCTTTTTATAACTTCTCTCTCCTTCTCTTTGGGAACCGAGGCAACCGCAGCTAATACCTATACCATGACGTAATGCCAGAATGGAATTTTTGGGCTTTTGTGAGTGTCGTAGCAGGTTTCCAAATGTCTACATCATTCACAGCACGTTTTTCAATTAGAAAAAAAAAACACTATCCCATCTGCAAGTTTTTATGCCTCAAAAAAACTCTGCGGATATAGTCACTAAGATTTGTATTTTAGCTCAAATGAATTGCATCCAAAGCTAAAGATTTGTAGAACAGACTTTCAAGTTGCCATTAAGGCATAAATAACATTTAAAGTTTTAATATAAAAGTCTAAACCATGAGGGATATAATAAACATTTTGGAGATCAAAACCTTATTCTAGCACTGATTGTATTAAAGGAGAAAGGAATGAGGGAATGAGAGAGAGAGAGAGAGAGAGAGAGAGAGAGAGAGAGAGAGAGAGAGAGAGAGAGAGAGAGAGAGAGAGAGAGAGAGAGAGCAGAGAGAGAGAGAGAGAGAGAGAGAGAGAGAGAGAGAGAGAGAGAGAGAGAGAGAGAGAGAGAGAGAGAGAGAAGAGAGAGGGGGTTTGACCTAAACAGATGCTGACTACAGACAGCACTCATCAAATTGAGACGTTCTAAGCGAACGTGTGTGTGTGAAGCTAAAAGGCATTGAGCTGACCTCAAACAGAGACGCTAATGGCTCCGCTTTAAATTACATCACCGTGTCGTCCTGCCTCTCCAAACACACACCCAGGGCCCAGACACCCCCTGCCAGCTAAGGACAAGACTTGCAATTGACTCGCAGAGCACATGATGGGAATGCAGAAAATATTGCACTGGTTAATAAAACACACATCCAGCAAAAATATGTTTGCATGTCTGTGCATGTGAATAATTTATTTGCTCATACATTTCTAAAGACCAATACCATCACTACATATTCTCTCCTCAGCCATGTGTCTGGACTGTGGCTATTTAAACAGATGTGGATCCACATCACGTCTTGTGGCCACACCCTGACAGTGGACATTATCATTGCTCTGTTGGTCACGTCATACTGCTGAGCCCAGAGTTATAGGGATCCGGGCATGCATGTGTTAGTTTGTGCATGTTTGTTTGCCACTCATATGTGTATGTGCTGTTAGCTGGTCACAGTCTGTGTGTTTTTGCATGCATGAATGCTGCAGACAGGCATGAATACCCCCTATCTCATCCATGCTGACTAGGCAGTCCTGCCCCAGCCACGTGCACCAGACTGTTTAACTGCACCAGGCAGTCCACTGCAACCATGTTCACCGTTGCAGTCCGCCCCACTGTACTCCAAATGCATGCTGTTGTGTGGCTAATGGTCACGCACCCTGGGTGATCCATTATAAAGCAAACACAGATTCCCATACTTCTTAACCAAATACATCAAATGCAATCATCTCTATTAATAGTTTATATGCAACAAACTTCAATTACATTATTATTTACAATAAAATTATATTATTATTTGTACTGCTCAGAGCCCAGATGCAAGGCATCAAAAAGAATGATCAAATACAGCTTTATGGGAACATTTATAGGCAGACTAGTGAAAATGTCAACTTTAGATAAACATATATTGGAGTGAAAACGCATGAAGAAATGCATCTAAAGTCTGAAAGACTTTGTTTGTTTACATAAGGCTTCCAACATGCAATACGCAAAACTACCCATCTAATAAACCATTTCTGAGTCTAGTCTTCTCTTCTGTACCCGCCTCTATGTGCTACCTATGAGGCCTTTTCCCCTTGACTCAAACAATGACTCCTTTATACTCCAGCCCGAAGTGGCACCGTGGGAATGTGCTGGGGGGTGGGGGGGGGTGTTTTTATTCTGCTATTGGCACCCTGACCAGAGGCTGCCGACGCAAAGGTTAAAACTGTTACACACAAACACTCAAGGCAGTAGGTGAGGACATTATGGAGTTCATTTGCACATTTCAACAGGCAAATGGTCCAAAAAAAACATTTGGCAGCAAGTTCAATGTTCCTATGCAAATTTCCCAGCACGTTGCAATTAGCACGCCAGTGTCAGATCTTCAACATCCTGGTCTATCGAAAACGTTTACAGTACGACTCATTTCAGCTAGTCGATTCTTTGGGAATCATCAAAAATGATTCAGTTATTCAGCGCTACGACATAACTGCGTCATCACGTGGTCTCCGATATGTGCCCTTAAACCTTAAACCATGCAATAATGCGTATGAAAACAAATTGCTGGTAATTTCCACTCGTAAAAACTTAGAACCAAAATATGTATTTACATCTCTTGTTTGAAAAGATTTTTGCACTTTTTAATAAAAAGCTATTTATTAAAACACAACTTTAGAATGCGTGTTGATAAAACTAATACAATCAAGTCATAAACATGCATTTAATACATTTTATTTGTAACTGCAGAAATAACTTTTAGATTCATCAACTCACACTCATCAGTTCTCGGTTCATAACGAATCGGTTCTCAGTTTAACGAGTCAGTGATCCGCTCGGACCCAATTACCGGTAACGTTAGTCCGATTTGTGAACGGTTCATCCAGACAGAACCGGTTCAACCGATCTACTCAAAAGATCCGATACAAAAGAACAATTCATTCACGATTTGTACGAAAAGACGGCAATGTCGTGAAGATGTACGCATCTTCGAATATCACCTTGATGCTGCGGTCTAATGCTGTCTAACGTTACTGCAGTCTCTAGGAAACAGTCTCTAGGAAACAGTCTCTAGGAAACACTCATGATGACTATCTTACAGATGCTCTTGCTGTGTCAGAGATGCGCCCATCCTGAATCATATTACATCACATCAGCAGTCAAACTGGCGTCCTTCCTAAAGGACAGACAACAAGCAGTACATGTGCTAATTTACCTTCCCATGCGCAAAACTGTCAGAAACATGCCAAACCTTGAAGCAAGCAAAATTAACATCCCCGCTACTGTAGGAAATGCTGTTGTGATCCCAGAGCCATAAACGGTCGCATTACTGCATTTCTCTGCATTGCGATTATTCCGTGTCAAAACGAGTACTGAACCGTTTTAATATGCGTTATGAAAGTATATTTAAGCTCTGTGGTGAGTTTGGGTCGCTGGTTGAGGAGCCCTACCTCGTTCCGGCTTCACCTGGGATGATGATGGTGGAGCGTGCTGACTTTTGCTGCATTGACTCAAAGCTCCCAGGAGTGAGACCACGTGACCCAACTCTGCACCGCTACTATCTCAGTCACCCAAGTCCACACTGCGCTTTTAAAGTCACAAGCAGATTTTCCCCGGCGAGGACATTATATGCAGAGTCGTGCAGGGAATAAATGTCTTAAAAGATAAGCCTAATAATGCGCTAGAGGTGGAATATTAATGTTTACATCCAGTCCGATGCAATACAGATAGCAGCGTGCAGCATGTGCGTTCCAGGAATAGGCTAACGTTACACTATAGAAAATGTTCAGCCTACGGTAAAAGCTGCCAGCTTGCCAGTAGGCTACATTATCGTAAAATACTGAGACGACAATAAATGTGTCATTAAATCATATAACTTAGGCTAGGTCTATGCCTACTTATCCAAAGTTAACCCATTTTTTTGTAGTACAAGTTTTACTGTAGTAGCCTATTTTACATTATTTCCTGTTTAAACTAACGTACTTTTTTATACAAAGCTAGCCCATCGCAGATAAGTAGGCTAGTATAGGCTACGACTATTATTAAAATGCGATGTGTAGATCTTTCTCAAGGGTTTGTGAATGCACTTAGCCTACAGTAATGATATCGTGACACTGTGGGCGTTAATAACGGGTTGCATCATAGAATGGACTGCTCAAACTTTCTAAAATGCGATTTATCTTACCTGTTATGATGTCGTCAATCACCAACTCTTTCTCAGTCATCATTCAAATCTTCAGGTTTTCTTATCCGTAAAGATCCCACTTATGTCTAACTTTTTGCGCGGTTCATTAGATTCTTTACAGAAAGCTCCCTACTTCTCAAGTGTGCTATCCCGTCCCGTAATCTTGCTCCCACCAAACTTCCAGCCCTAAACTATTTAAAACTAACGCTTTGGAGCGCATTTAAAATAAAGTACATCGAGTTTGACCCACAATTGAGTTTTCCTCAGACTGTCTGACATCCAGAGAAAGGAAGTGTACTGATCCAGACTTCACGTCTGTTGGCTCCATCGGGCCCCGCCCTTCAGCTCGACTCCATGTGCAAGACTAATGAAGCAGAAACAGAGTAAACACAGGCCTCGAACAACTAAAACAAATAAAAAGTGACACCTAATTATTATTTTTTAGCCTAGAAATTCTTATATATCCACAGTCGTGATCAGGCTATCTTAGATGGATAAAAAATGCATGTTATTTTTTATTTAGTAGCCTATACTGTCCTGAATAAGATATTTTACATAAAAGATGTTTACAAATAGTCCACAAGACAACATTTTTAGTCTTTTTTGAATTTGAAGATCAAAGTAAATTGTACTAAATTTATCTTCTGTTGCTTTCGGAGAGAAGTAACTGAAAAAAATATGCTATAATAAAATAAGAACAACTTGGTGTTTCCTTTTGGAGCATCAGTGAATGTTTGAACCTTTTTTAATAGTTGTGTTTGAGTCCATCAATTGTCCTCAGTGTGAAAACATGAATCTTGAAATCACAGTCACCGCTGGAAAGTGTTCAAATATGCAAAAGATGCTGGAAAACTAAAGAATTTTCGGGACCTGCATGAAGGATTTTTCTGAAGAACTGTGGGCAGTTTAACAGCTCTGGACCTATGCTCTGGACAAATAAGGGACTCAAGAAAAAAAATCATCCAGATAACGACATAACAATCAAGGATATGTAAACTTTTGAACTGGATAATTTTGTATAAATTCCACTATTTTTTTTCTCTTGTGGTCTATAAACATCTTTTATGTAAAATATATTATTCAGGACAGTAGCTTACTAAATTAACATGCATTTTGTATGATATCTTATTTTGTTAAAATAATGAACATTTTGCAGATTCTGCAAGGTGTACTGTATGTAAACTTTTGAGCACGACTGTGTACTGTGAAGATATAGTCCAATAATTGTGTAGTTTGTCTATATCTATCAGTCTTTAATTAAGCCGTTAATTAAAAATGTTTATTCAAGGGAGTATATGAAACATTGATCTATAGAATGTTATCAAATACCAAACCATATTCCCAATTGCACATGGTGAAATAATACTGCAGCACGCCATACGTACAGTATTGCATGGAAAATATAGGTCCTTTTGTCATCTATGGTTCCTTAAAAAGGTATATGTATGATTTTTCACCACCAGGGGTCGCTATAACCTATAACCTACAATAACAAAGGCGTATATCGATGACGCAAAGCATTAAGCGGAATTTTGGATCTTGTCGTCAAGCTGATGGATCTTTTATGGATGAGTGAATACAGTGATGTTTTTAACATGACTGTGGTATGAAGCAGGGCGCGATTGCTAATGAGAGACCTATACCAGCGCCACACGCAACGCGAGTCCCGCGGATATAACGTTAAAGGAATAAGGACATTTCATTCTACCGAACTACACGCAAGTGCTGAATTAATACTCACACGGATCAGTTTATTAGACGAATTAAACTCGAGGTAACGCAGCGCTGTTTCACTTTTACACTATCACACTAAACAGCATTTGAGTGTGTTTAATGTTAGTTAGGTTAGGTTGTTTGTTGGCTAACGTTTTATGAGACTAGCAGTAAGCTAGATCAACATTAGAATAACATACAGATCATATTCGAACATTTCATCATGTTGAACTAAATAACTGATTAGTTTTATGTACATTTGCTCACCTGTCTAATAAAGTACATGCAACACTCGCGTCTCTGTCAAGTCGAAGTTAGTCGCGGACGTGGAGCTCTCTGCATCTCGAAAGATGTTGATCTTCGTTTTAGTCCTCTTTTTGTCTCAAAGTCTGCTTGCCATGATCCATAATGTTTGAACAAATCAACAACAGCGTGAGCGTCCTCCTGCTAGGCATAACTCAGTTGTCCACGTCTGTCGCCATGGTTACTATCATGGCAGTACGAGCGGAAACCTAGGGGGTAATCCACCAGCCGGAAACTGAAGTCTCCCCGGGGGCCGCCATTGGCTAACAAGCCTTCACCTGCTGTTAGCATCCCATTGACTCACATTCATTTTTGCGTCACTTTTACAGCGAATAACTTTACATCTGAGGCGTTTAAAGACTCAATTTGTCCATTGTTTATTTCTAAAGAAACACGACAATGTATAAAAGGCTCCATTACCTTGTATCTTACGTTATGGCCCCGCAGAAGCCGTTTTTGTAAAAATAGGCTAACGATTGCGTCATAACACGCGACTCTCTGTCGCACAGTCGAGAAATTACCGTATAGACAGAAGTAGAAGCTCGCGCGCAATCGGCGAGACATGGAGGCATAAAGTCAAGGGAGAAGCCCATAGAGTGTCATAAAGTTGCTCCTGCTGCGAGCTCATGAATAGCTAATACTCACGAACTCCGGCTCTGCAAGATTCGGAAGGGAATGATTCAGATTCCTCTTGGCACCGCTACTAGAAGACGTACAAGTTGTTTACGTCACATCTACGTCGTCAAGCTCAGTTTGAGCCTGCGCAGTTCGCTTGGCAATCAGGAAGTGAGTGCTTCTAATTGACTTCACTTTTCTCCGTTGAAGTCTATGGGGTCGCTGTGTCCATTTCTTTTACTGTCTATGGCGGAAACCGAGGGTAACGCGGATATGACGCCATTGACTGGCGACTCCTCAGCACACGTCCCGTTTCCTTGGTTAAAATCGCAATTTTCTCACGATTTACAAATAGTTGGAAACATTTGGGTTCCCTTTCGAGAGGTTCCTCCTATTGCGTAAGACTTACGCTATGGGAAAACTCCTTTTCTCGAGAAATATTGAAGTCTTTATGTAAAACGCATTGCAGCTGCACAGCATACAGCAATGAGCGAGGCAGCTCGGTCATTGGCTGTGCTGCGGCAACTGCACGAACCTATGACGGGGCGACTCTGAACCCGCTTCCAATGAGCGTGCTTCGCGCCCACGCACGTCAGAGCCCGCCAAGATGGGCGTGGCCAAGGGCTATATATTGGGCGCCCCGTCGTCTGAGTTCTTTAGATTTAATCTCCTTCAGCAAAGACCTTCTCTTCGCTGGATCCTCTGGATTTCTTGGAGTCTTTTCGCCGCCGCCGTCGACAAGCCTACAGCAGGACTGCTTCGAGGACGCCGGCGCCTTCAGCCGCCTTCGATCGCCTTCTGCTAAGCCATCCGGCGCGCATCACCTTTATATCCTTTTCAAAGCTTACAGTGTTCGCCCCCGCGACACTTTTTCTAAAAGAGCAAATTCAAGGCGTTGTTTCAAATGCCTTCCTGCGCCTCGTGTCGAGGCCCTCTTCAGGACGGGGATCGTCACATCATTTGCACCCGCTGCTTGGGACCGGACCACGCAGAGGCTGCCCTTACTCGAGGCGGATGTCCCGAGTGTGACGCCCTGGGCCTCACCGAGCTGCGCGCTCGCTTCGCCGTTTTCACCGCGAAAGAGCCCACTTCCTCCGTGCTGCCATCCCCTCTGGTCGAGCCGCACAAGAAGAAGCGCCGCTCACAGAGGCCGCCAGAGCACGCGGTTTGCAGTGATGTCACGCCGGGCCAATTCCCGCGTGCTTCACCACCACCCGAAGACTCCCCGCCGCCAGTCCAGTTCACACAGGCGGACCAGCACCCCTCCAGCGGAGCGATGGGTCTCGTCTCGTTTGGCGCATCAGGGGATGACGATGACAAGGATGACAGCCTTTCCTGTGATGCTGCATCCGACGACTGGCCGGGCTCGTCCTTCGACCCCGCGCCATCGACATTGGCGGGCACGAGCGTGGGCTCCAGCATGGACTCGGAGATCGTCCGCATCCTATCTAAGGCCGTGGAAGACCTCGGGCTCGATTGGTCTTCCCCGGAAGAACCCGCCCGCAGCCGACTGGACGAGTGGTTCCTGCAGGGGCGCCGACAGGCCCCTCGGCAAAGGCCCTCCCCTTTCTTCCCGGAAGTTCACGACGAACTCACGAAGTCGTGGAAAGCCCCGCACTCCGCTCGCCTGAAGCCTTCTTTTTCTTTGTCGCTCTCCTCTGTGGACGGCGCGAAAGAAAGAGGCTATGAGGGGACTCCGCCCCTCGAGGAGGCTGGGGCCAATCATCTGTGTCCACCCTACAACGTTTAAAACATTACCGAGTCCCCTTACAGGCGGCTGGAAATGT